TCTCAATTAAGAAACCGAGTGTAAAATTTCCTAAATTATTGTAGAGAGATCAGTCTAACATTAACCTACATTATTTTAAAAGAGCAGTTCTAAATTGTTTGAATGGGGTAATACTCCTTTAACAACGGGATCGTTAATTAAACTCGATAAACTCGCAAATCTTCCAGCGATTCATCATTAACACAAATGAACCTTGTTTTAAAAACATTGAGGAATTTGTAATTAAAATAGCATTTAATACCGACAGAATAATGAAGCCGCCATCTTCATTATTCTGTCGGTATTTTCCGGCCGCTCAGTCGCCGCCGACCCTTTGCGCTGTAATGTTGGGCATCGCCGCCGACGCACCGCTGCAAAGCGTCTTTTTTGTCGATTTTTGTTTTGTTCTAGTGCATTTTTAATTGAATTTTTGTTAATAAGATACTAGAGTGTTCGTCTTGAGTGTGAAGTTAGTTTAGTGAAGATTGTGTTTAGTTTTGTGTGAAATGTGATGTGTTTTGCGCGTGCATGCACCACCTCAGTCTTCAGAGAGGAAGTGGACATTTTCAGCATCGACTATCATTAAGATATCGGTAAATAATTAAATTAAATTAATGTATTTCGCGGTTCATTGTAATCTGCACAAAATCGATATTGCGCATGCGCGTTATAGGGCTATCAACACTTAGAAATTAAAAATTTTTACTCCATTTTTACACCTCCTCTATTTTTAAATATTTGTCAAATAAAATGAACGTTTGCATGTAACCTAACTTGAAACTTTTGGCTGTGTCGGTCATTTTGTTCCTCCCAGTATGTATTTTATTTTATTATTTAACATTTCATGTACATAATACATTGGTGGACTTAATGCCTTAGGCATTTTCTACCAGTCAACCAGATGGGTGATGTGATGTGTGTGATGTATGAGATAAAAGGTGGTAGTGTGCACATTGTACAGGAGATATAAACAGAGAAAATAGGACCTATAACAAAATATATAAACTTACATAAACAATACATATATACTTTCATAACTACATATACTAATATAATATATAATGTATATATATATATATATAATATAATGTAGACGACTAACGGTGTAACGAATTAGCCTGTTCCTGTGTAACGAAATAGAAAGCTACGCAGCTTGTTTTTAAATGTAACTTTGCTGGTGGACATTCTGATGTCCAACGGAAGTTCATTCTACAACAGAATCGATTTTACAAAAAACGAAGAATGGATGGTATCGGAGTGATGCGATGGACACATGAGCCGCAGATTTGAGGAGGAGCGAAGGTTTTTGGTATGAGTGGTACATATATACTGAAATTGCGACGTGAGATAAGACGGAGCATTCGAAGAGTTCGGTAAGGAAAACAGAGTAGTAAGAGCTCGCATACTTCTACACTGTCGAATGGTCATCCATTTTAAGTGAGATCGGTATGCGGACACATGATCATATTTTCTAAGATTAAAAACGAATCGAATGCAGTTATTTAGAAGTCGGTCGAGTTCATTTAGTAGATCTGCACGAAGTAGACTCGCCAGACTGGACTATGTGCTGTCGCTCCCGAAGATAAGATGAGAACCATGTTAAAACGTCATCGTCAGAGACCATTAGATGAGAGAGCATGGAAAGAAGGATGTCGTGACTAACAGTATTAAAAGCATTGGAGAAATCAATAAGAACGTGACAAGTAACTTTACCGTCCTCCACCGCCGCCCTATCATCGCCAGTCACTTTTAGGAGTGCAGAGACAGTGAATTCTTCTGAACGAACTGTGAAAATTGTTTATGAACACATGCCTCGAGGACTTTGGACATGAAAGGAAGAATTGAAATAGGATGAAATTGGTTGGGTTGAGTTGGATTTGAAACTTTGGGAAGGGGACATAGGCTTTGCGCCACAGGATAGGGAAAGTTCAGGATTCAAGAGAAGAGTTAATAATATGCGTGATAACAGGGAGAAGATGGTCGAGTACCATGGTGATCATACGACGACTGATATCGTCACAACCCACTGCATTCGATTTGATAGAGAGTATAATCTTTTTGATCTCCGCCCATGTGACTGGTGAGAAATGGAAAAGGTCAATCTTGGGACGCGTTAAACCCTTTATGAAATTAATAGTCCGTGCTGTCGATTGATTTGAAGTAGTACTGAAGTGACGATTGAGTTCGTATAAGTTTATTGAATTAGGAAGGTCTAAACATCGCGATTTACCAATACCTAGTGTTCCGAGAAACTTCCAGATATCAGCAGAAGATGAAGAGGTAATATTGTTGAGAATGTGGCGACTCTTAGCGTTACGTATCATCTGATTACAACGATTTCTAGCTGTTTTGAATATCTTCCAGTTTTCTTCAGATCAATCTCTTTTCAACTTACGAAATGCGCGATTCCTCTTCCTCATCACCATCCGAACACACTCTGTCATCCAAGGTGCTGGTGGAAGCTTCAGCCCGACTTCTAATGGGTGCATGAACATCATAAAAACCAATCAACGTATCGTTAAATATTTTGACCTTATCATCAACGGAAGTTGCTTCAATTAAACGGTCCCAGTTGATCACGGACGCTTCCTCTTGCAGCTTTCCTATATTAATGCGAGCGAATGAGCGCCTGTGCAGGATCTTAGGAGAGGATTTTGGAGGTTTAAGGAGATAAGAAAGGAAGATAAGATCATGACGTGAAAAGCCGGGAGCGATATGTTGACCATATGAGGGGACAAGGGAAGGATTAGAGGTAAGGATAAAATCAAGCCACGAGTCGTCACCAGAAATGTTGGTTGGAGGGGCAGTACATGGAGACTTGCAGACTTAATGATATGAACGAGTTTGCGGGATCGTGAGGATTCGGAAATTAGGAGATTGGTATTGAAATCGCCCATGATGACAAGATGTGCATACTCAGATCCCAAAGATTCTAAAACCGCTTCGAATTGGGTGAAATAATCGACAGAGGGGGGACAATAAACAACTCCAATAGCCGCTTTTTCACGGCCTGTCCCAATCTCCAAAAAGAGATACACAGCTATTGAGCCAGACTCGGAGGAGGCAATTATTTTATACGAGAACGAATTACGTAAATAAATACAAACACCACCTCCACCCCGTGCACAGCGATCATTGCGTATCAGAGTAAAATCAGGGAGAGAGTAGGAAGAAGAAAGAAGATATGGTTTTAACCATGATTCGGAAATTAGGACAGCGTGTATATTATGCCCAGAGAACACATCCATCAATTCGTTATAGTGGCTTGGCACACTCTGGGCATTGATGTGACATAAGTTCAGTAAACCCGGAGAATCATCAAAAGTCCGACCCAGAAAATCACCAACAGTGACAGTTGCAGAGCAAAAACTTTCATTATTGGATAAATTTGCAGATTCATCATCTGCAGAAAAATATTCGTTGTCGTCAAGTGCCATAAAAATATAATAAATAAAATAGATAAAATAAAATAGTATATAAATATGTAAAAATAATAATAAAATTAATTGTGCAGATATTAGTGCTGAAGCGTCTATAGCTCCACACCACCCGCCAGCTTACATTAGTTAATACACACAAAAATATCCAAGTTGCTTTATATGTAAATAAAGCGTGGAACAACATCATCATTAATAAAAATAATATTTAAATTTGACGCAATAAAACTGACCAATGATGGAACTGTCAGTAAAATAGGCATTCTTGTTTAGATCACATGAGTTTTTCTCTATACCCTTTTTACCATCGGGTATCAGGTTATGGGCCCTTAAAGAGAGGCCAGGGATGAAGGTAAAATAAAATAAAAATGCAGTGTTTATTGTGTTGAAAAAATCGATATGCCAGAGTCCGGATAAGCATAGCAACGAATGATAAGCATAGCAACGGATGTTTGTTAAAAAGAAAGTCGGTAATATTTAAATTTATTAGAAACAGTTTGGTTTTATTGATCATGAAGAATATTAATAAATTGAAAGAGTAATTATAAAAATTGGAGAAATATTACGAAATTATTTTTGGAATCGAAGGGACTTGTGGAGTTTTTAGAAAATTTCTAGTTTTAACTAATATTGATGAAAAATTCCTACATAACGTAATAAATTGTACTTCAACTAAGGAAATTTTTGAAAAACTGGTTTGATCTTTCAATATGGCCGAAAAGAAGACAATCATGAAAAAAATATTAAATTTTATAGCTACATATCTACCGGAAATGTAATAGACGATATTAGCAATTTGGAAAATTTGTATTCAGTAATTAATTTATTAGAACCAAAAAGTATTAGGGAAGAAATGTTAATGAATAAAATATTACCATATTACCAGGAACTATAGGAAGGCGAAAAAAAAAAAATGTTTTTGGACGATTCAAAAGTGCTTACTTGAATATAAATATTTTCATTGCTTTTCATCTTAAAGTACAGCATGCTCTACAAGTGCTAAGTAATAAAATAATTGAAAATAAACAAAAAAGAAGTTTATGTTATATTTAAAAAAGGGGTGAAAGTGGTTTTTATACTATGGGTTTTTACACTAGAACTTCTTTTTTACAGATTTTCAATCATGTACTACTAAGCTCTTCTAATACAAGCAAAATTTTTTTGATTAGCTTCCCTTAAATAAAGTTTTGATTTACTTAGCTTCCCTTAAATAAACCTTCACACTTTTATGTAGATGTACACTATGATATTAAAATATGCATCAATATCACAGTGAATATGTTAAATGTTTCCTATACCTATGTCAATAAATACTAATATATTATAGCTTTGTAATGTATTATAGCTTTAGAATATTGTAAAACCAAACACTAATTACTCACTGAGAATTTATTTCATTTTTAAAAATGCACATTGTATCACTATTATTTCTTTCATTAAACAACTGCAAATAAGACTCGTATTGTCAGCTAGTTGGATAAAAATAGAGACAAACACAAAGTCAAATAAAAGATAAGTTACATTAGTGAACGACAATGGTACTTTCTAATCCCACACTGGTCTCAATCAAAGTTTTTATTAGTTGCATGTCCTTCACTAATAGTGGAGCTTTAATGCTAGGAGCTGGGGGTCATGAAGTTAGTCCATACCCAGGTGTGGTAAATAATATCCTTTTAAAATTCAATTAAATTTACAATAAAATCAATATAAAGTACTTTGATCAGATGTGTTTAATTCAGGAGCATCATTTAAGTCATCTAAGCTGTCAGGTTCTAGTTCATTATTATTTCTGGCAGGTGAATATGATGTACGAAGTTCTTCTTCTTCATCTTCATCGTGAGTCTCTTCAGATTCATCAGATTCATCATTCCCTAAGAAAATCACAAATATTGTTGCTATTAGAAATGTAGTCTAAATATCAATTGCAATATGAATAGAATGTAAAAATGTCCACAAGCATTATTGCATGATTAGTGTCATTTTACCTTCTTCTTCATCAGTGTCTGCCTCTTCTTCCATTGGCTCAGGGTCAGACTTTCCAAGTGGTGCTCTTTTCATATATTGCTGACCGATTGAGCTCAGCTGATAACATAAATTTAAATTATAATTACATAACCAGAGAGTAATTTTTGGAAGTATTTGCAATGATACAAACAATTCAGTCTCGTCAATTTGTTATCAACTCTAAATGCTATCAAATTTTCATTGTGATTTTATTATTTACGCCATTTTACAGGGTCAAAGAGAAATTTAATATAGCTATGCAATAAAATTTTACTTGGGGATTTAAAACTAAATTTGGGTAAATAAGAGTTTAATATTCAAAACAAACCCAGTGTTGATTGGCTTGTTCTAAAGCTGTTAATTCTGATTCTTCGTCGCATGGGCTATCTGCGTTAAACCACTTTGAATCTATTAGACGTGGAGTTAAAACTGGGAAAGGAATATTCATTGTATTGGTCTATAAATTATTATTTGTATGTACTTCTAATATCTATTTTATTGTATGTTTCGGCAAGCAAAGATTTTCTCTCGATGTTCAAATTTTTTTTTTAAAGGTTTTTTGGCCCTGGCTTCCATGGCCTTCAGCTGTGTCTTTATATTGAGATAATTTATATATTTACAAGCGTTTCCTTTATATACGAGGGTCAAACTGAAAGTTCTTAGAACTGGCCACTTATAAACAATATAATAAAAAAATAATTCTAAAATTTGAAAATATAACTCTTTGCCAATATTACTGAGTATATATTTCATTCATTTGTCATTTGTTTTACGATTTGGCGGCAAATTGAAAATTGTCTGTGTCACGTCATCATGAATTTAACACGAGAAAATTTTCGTGCAATGATTTTTTATGACTTTCGATGTCATTTAAGTCAACAAGAAAGTTATGATAGACTACGATTGGCCTTTCACGATGAAGCCCCATCTCGTGCGACTGTTTACAACTGGTTTAATGAGTTTAAACGTGGTCGCACTAATCTCACTGATGATTTACGTGAGGGACGGCCTTCTACGGCGACGACTGAAGATAACATCTGTGTTGTGCGGCGTATGATAGAGACTGACAAAAGAGTGACCTATCAACAGATTCGGACAAGCTTAGGCATCGGTATGAGTCAAGTGCACAAAATCCTCCACGAACATTTAGCGGTCAGGAAGCTTTGCGCCCGGTGGATATCTCATAATTTGACTGAGGCTCAAAAACTCCATCGTGTGGATTGGTGTCGTAAAATGATTGAAAGATTTAACGGAGGTGACTCAAATGCTGTGGTCGACATACTAACAGGTGACGAAAGCTGGATTTACTGTTATGATCCTAAAACCAAAAGACAATCTGCTCAGTGGGTGTTTCCTTTCGAGGAGTTGCCAACTAAAGTGAAGAGAGATCGAAGTGCGGGAAAAAAAATGGTGGCCTCGTTCTTTGGAAGGATAGGTCATTTTGCAACAATTGTGTTAGAGGATCAAAAAACAGTTTCTGCAGAATGGTACACTACCAATTGTTTGCCACTTGTCTTGGAAAAAGTTCGAGAGAAACGACCTCGCAGTAGGATCCTCCTTCACCACGACAACGCCTCGTCGCACACCGCCAAGCGAACGATCGACTATTTGGCGACATCAAACGTTGAATTACTGGGTCACCCGCCGTATAGCCCCGACCTCGCGCCTTGTGATTTTTATTTATTTCCAAAAATTAAAGAAAAACTTAAAGGAAAGCGGTTTATGAATGCTGAAGAAGCGGTGGCTGCGTATCGCGATGCCATTGAAGAGACCCCTAAGGACGAGTGGGCAAAGTGCTTTTCCCAGTGGTTCCATCGCATGCAGCGGTGTATTGACGTGAATGGACAATATTTTGAAAAGATATAATAAAACTAATAACTGGCTAATGTAATCAGTTTTTGATTTTCTAAGAACTTTCAGTTTGACCCTCGTATCTGTATAAGTATCTATATATTTCTGGGATCTGCAATAAATCTTGTAATTGGCGGGGTACATCTTTCACAGTTTTTTCTATATTTGTTGCTAATATTAGGCGTTGCATAGCGAAATTTGGACATTTCAGAACGAGGTGTTCAAGATCTGCAATTTCGGGTATGTTCCGATATACACTGCGACCACTGAACAGTATGACGTCAATTTAGTATACTGGAAGCCCGTTCCTTTATAGCTAGTTATACTGGTGACTTTTTAAAACGGAACGCAGTCCAGTATACTGTTAATCCTATTTTTTTGGCGCCATTTTCAAATTTGTTAATGCAAGGTGAATATAAATGTAAAGATTCCTTCTTTCCAAAAGAAAATTGGAAAATTGTATAAAAAAAATATTTATCAATTAAATCCATCTTATAAATAAACGTAAGTATTTTTTTTTTTATTTAGAAACTTATCATTTTCTGATTCTGTTTCGACTGATCACGTGATCAAAAGCACTGCGAGCACCTTACTTTCGGTGGCGCTAGTGTCACGCATAACATTGGCTCTGTGATTTGATATAATTTAAAATTCTAATTCATAAAAATTAAGAGTTATATTTGGGAAAAAATAAATATCAGTGTGTAATAAATCAGGATAAATGTTATCTATGCAAAAGTCAAAGGATAAATAGTGCTATGAAGGTCCAATAGTGATAACTGAAAATTGGTGATATATTTCAAGCTACGGAAGAAATCATTGGGAATTTATTTCATACATTTCAACGTTTTCTTTAAATCTGTCAAAATCAACAAAGCGGTGAGTGCAATACAAGTGAAATACAAGAATTTCTATTCCATAAAAAACGTTACCAAAAATGTTGATTTGAATATTGACTTAAAAGCATAAGCAACTAATATTGTAATAACGTGCTTATTGAGACCCAAAAGCATATGATTAACTTATGATTCCTGTTTTCACCGCAAGACGGCATTACCTTACCTGTATTTTAAAGTGAAAGGATACGCCATCTAGTGTTCATTGTGTAGACTATTACAAAGAAGCAAGTTCTTACTATCGACTACATTGTTACCTGTTATTCCAGATAACTAATTGTGATTCAAACATTCGACACGTAGTTTAACTGTCAGTTGGTCTAATAATAAAATAGCCACTGTTGAACCTAAGGTCCGCAGATCGAATCTCTACCACTATAGATTTTTTGGAATATTTATTTGCTTCGAACATGAGTCCTCAAAATAAATCTGTTTCCAAAATGATGCAATTAGTAACGTGTGCGAAGTGCAAAAATAAAACGAAAATTAAAGACACTTTAACATGCTCAAAATGTAAAAAGATATACGAGTTTGAATGCGCTGGAATATCGGAAAAGTTGTACAAACTTATGGATTTTGATAAAAGAACATCGATAAAGTGTAATCATTGTATTACAAATGTTACCAGTAAAACTGAACACGCGAATTCGCACATTACATTAAGAAAAAAACTGCCCAAACAAGTCAAGCGAGATGAGATATTAAATAATATACTAGTGAAAACGCCAACTACACCCACTACTTCATACGCTGGCCGAGAATCGTCAGAAATTGACTCGTATATTCTCACCGACGATGACACTTTTAGTGAGTCTTGTGACTTGAATACAAAATTGTCACGAAGTTTTGAAATTTTTGAACATTCAAATGACACAATAGAGGAATTAAATAAAGTAATTGACCAACTAAAAACTGACTTAGCGAGTACTCAAAATGAACTTGAAAATATTATCATAGAAAATGGTGAACTTAAGAAACAAACTAATAAGCTAACTAAAGAAATATATATTTTGAAAAATATTTGTTGTTCACCAGGAGAAGACAGCAGGAACTAAGACAAAATCAATAAAAGCTATTGTAGATCTGAAAAAAACAATAACTCGCAATTAAAAACGAATATTGAATTCCTGACATATAATACGCCGCCTCAATCGAGGCAACTGACGACAACGTCTTTGAAGCTGAAAATATTACATCTCCAAGAACAATTAGATAATAGTAGGAAGGAAATACTAGAACTTAAAGAAAAACTAAATATACTTGTTGATCAAAAGTTGAATGCAGATACGACAAAATACGAAATAAATGACGAACTATCTGTTGACCCTATGGATAGTAATGTGCAAACCGATATTACATTGCAAAATTCTGAACCAAGAAACAGAATATACATATATGGTGCACGGCAATGTGTTGGCCTTGCAACGGTATTGCGAAACATGAGAGTTAATACAAAATATGAAAACTATCAAGTATTCGCCAATCTAAAACCGAATGCGTTGACAAGAAATATTTTAAGCGATACACAAAAATCTCAACTGCGGGAAAATGACAAGATTGTTATATGTATAGGTGAACACGACCACAACGTACATAGTGTATTGGCGGAAATTGAGAAGTATCTTAATAATTATCAAAAAATACCAGTTATAGTTCTAAAAGTACTACAAAGTGACACGATCAATGTTTCTATACTGAATCACAGGATTGAAAATATTTGTAAAATCTATTCAAATAGCTATTTCATAAATCTACCGTATAAATGTTCTCTAATTGACATAGGCAATAAAATTAACTATATCGTTGACTGCTTAGATTATGAAAGGAAATTCTTAGACTATAAACAACTAAAAAAATTGATAATGCGCAACAAATCAAATGCAAACCCGAACCGCTTTACAAACGAATACCAAAAAGGAACAATACCTTATTACTTTAAAATGCAATTAATTAAAAAATTAGACAAAGATATTTTAGCACCACAAAAAAATACTAAATGCGAACATAAAAAGGGTACAATACCTTATTACTTTAAGTCGCAATTAATAAATAGAAATAGCTCCGCACTACCCATAAGTAATACTATTTCAGAGAACAAAACTAGTGTTAGTTCAATGTTTTTTCGAAAAACGATTAAATAGTAAAAATCGGACTTATTTTACAATTTTTCATCAAAATATCGCTAGTGTACTATCAAAAATTGAAATGTTAGAGTTGACGTTATTGGAACTTGCTGAAAATGGAAATGAACCAGATATAATCTGCCTTTCTGAGACTTTTGTTATGAGAGGTTATGAAAATTACTTAAAAATTCATAATTATATTACTGCTTCATGTTACTGTAGAGAAGGAAAAAAACGGGGAGGTACTTGTATATTAGTGAAAAATAACTTGGATTTCATAGATATGCATTTTTTGGACAGTTTTTCACTCTCTAAATTATTTGAATGTTGTGGTGTAGAGTTACCATCAAAAAATATCATTATATTATGCATCTATAGGACTCCCAAAAGTGACCCTTTTTTATTTTTGGAGAAATTGGAGTGTCTACTTAATACCATTCAAAAAAAATATAAACGAAATAAAAACATAATTATAGTTGGTGATTTCAACATAAACACTTTAAAACCAGGCAAAATTACAAATCAGTTAAACGATCTAGCACTTAACTTTAATTTAACAGTTCATATTAAAGAACCAACTCGGAAAACGTCTTGCTTGGATCATATTTTAAGTAACATAAAAAACGCCACATCCTCTGTGCTTAAGTTGTATCTGTCTGATCATGAAACGGCACAGATTTTGAGATTTCCAATTAAATTGAAGCAAAGCATTA